AAATATGTTGACAGCGCCATGGTTCCTTGTGACATCGTTGCTATCGAGTTTTGTATTTGAAAAATTGCTGGAGCATTCTTTTGTGAGAATTGATCGTGAAGATCAACCCACACTTGATGAGCTGTCTTGGCGTGAATAATGCCTTTAGCGATATCTGCTTCAACGGAATGAGTTAACCAAGATATTATCATACTGTTGCACTGATTCCAGAGTTCGAATTCGGTTGAATTTGCATCTTGGGACGGTTCCTCAATTGTGCCATCAATGAAGCCAATTTTCTTCTTGGCAATAAGAGCATGCATAACTGATTTACTCCAGGATTGGTAATTTGCTCCATTTAATTTGATTGGAACAAGTGAATATCCTGGCTGATCAGAGTGATGAATATAGTACGGATGTGTTAAATCAACATCCGAAATTTTGAAGCTGGATTTGGCTGATTCCGCCATAAAGGAAATTTTGATATTTAAGAACACCAAGATCGGTGCTCTGATACCATGTTAAGAATGAGAAATAGAAATAGAATTGGGATCGAAAGTATGATCTTCATTCAGGTTTACCACGTTTAAATAGGATACAAACTATCAACTAATACCTAAAAATAGAAAAAATATATATCTAACTAAATTTGGTAAATAAATAAAATATACGGTTAATAAAATCTATACTAACAACTCCCTAAATATCTGATATATATTCTAACTAATTATCACGGCAAAATATCCTCTTAATAAATAATAATAAAAAAAAAAAATTGGAAAGAGAAAGGGAATCGAATTGGTTGGAAGAGAGGGACTGGAAATCGCTATCAGAAATCTATGTGATGATGACTCGGCGACAAGCCCCGGATTCTTATTCGCCTCCCCCTTTTATTTCCAACCCCACCTTCTTTCTCTCTTTTTCCCCTCCTATTTTCTCTTCTCAATCTCAATATTTTTAATTTATTTTTGTAAAATCTTCATTTATTAAATTATTGTTTCATTAATATATTAAATGGATTAATCACACTATAGCAATAAGTAATTTTCTAAACCGATCAACTTATTCATTGATATGTAGGAGAACAATTCAAATTGTTAACTTATTCATTGATGAAATAATAATTTTTTAATAATTTGAGTTATGTGACGTGAATTAAAATGTGAAGGTCTCCATCTACGTGTATATATATAATTTATTAAAAAAAAAAAAAAGCATCTAACTATTTTTAAATAAGTTTATATCTGTTAGATTCAGATATTTTGTGAATAATGATTTTTGTATAATATGATTGGAGATTTGACAAGTGATGTGAAAAATGTTACAAAAATTAAAGACCGGTGTCAATTTTGTAGGTTTAAAGATAGAGTATTTGTAGGTGAATAAATAAATAAAAAAGAAATATATTAATAATTTGACGAGAGGGAGAGAGAGAGAGAGAAATAAATACAAGGCAAGTGTCCCTATAAACAATGAAACATTCACCCAATTGGAAGTAAAGAAAAATTTGGGAAATCCAAAAACCATACTGTTTTCTTGTGAAATCATAATAAAACCAAATTCAATTGCTTTCATGCCATTTCTTTTTCCTCTGAGATCCCATTAAAACAACAAAGCATGAGAATGAAGGGGTAAATAAAGGATGAACCATTTCTGTGGCACTCACGTTAATATATTAGGAAGATGAAAAGTGTGAAGTGAATGGGTAGTTGGTATATTAAAATTTGTAATTATTTTGTGGGTTATGGCTATGTAAGAGGGCTGTAGGTTTCATTTTCACATTTTCACATTAGTTTTAGGTTTCAATGTTTCAATGTCTCAATCATTTCTTCTACTCCAATTTAATTTGTGTATACCACATTTGATGGACCCCACCCCATAAATTGTTCACACCAAATTACACTTACCCATTACTTTACCCACCACAACCATTCAACTCCTCATTAAGTACCTTCCCGAATATATCCACGTCTTCTATCTATACACTCTTCTTCTTCTTCTTCTTCTTTTTTTCGAGGGAGAATCCAAACCAACCCTGGGTAGTAATGCTACTACCGCTTTTATAGAAAAGGTGTATTTTAAAGCTTTTTAAATAATGGAGAAATAATGGTTGGATGAAATCATGAGTTGTTATGATTTTCAACCTTTAATGGAAAAATAATTCTAGACTTAAATCATCACTTTATACCTTGTACGTCTCACAAAATTGATTGCTCTCTTCCATTCATATAAAAAAAAAAAAAGATAGTTTACCCATTTAGTTTTTTTCCATTTTATGTTTCCTTTTGATTTGATTCTGATTTCCTAAACTAAAAGATGAGGGTCCAAAATACATTGGGTTAGGACCAAATTGATATTTGGGCCCAATGGGGAATATATGGGCACAAGAGTTTGTTATTGTTTTAAAACTGTGTTGGGTGGGGCGAAGGTGAAGCCCATTCACGAATGTTTGCACATTGTATTGAATTGGCAATCAGAATTCCACATTCATGATTGCCCCACATCCCCCCTCCCCTCCCACCACAATGACATCAACAAAGTTGGACTTGGAACAAATTCAAATCGGGTTCTCTATTTCCCTTTCCTTTCCTACTACTACAACACCCTCACCTCACTCTCAAACCTCTACAAAATTTGCTCTCAAACCTCTATACAAAATTGTGTTTCCTTCTTTTGATCTTGTACCTACCCATATACTAAAATAATCTCAATTCTCACATCAGTCATACCCAACACTCACTTATTCCACGTTTTTTTATGTAAGACGATCATGATGTTGCTCCATTTTGGCCTCCGAGTTTCCCACGAGTAAACAAGGGATTCATCGGTTGTACGTCTCGGGAAGTATCTCAAGTTCCAAGTCGGAACTCGAGTACGAGCATGGCACCCTCAAAAATGAGTTCTTCACCTCATCTTACTTTAGCACTCTAAGCCTGAATCCCTATTGCTAATTATGTACCCCACTTTGGATTGGTAACAAGATATGCACATAATATTAGAGAGAAACAAAGAAAAAGGCACCAATGCATGTACTCTGTCTGTGTGCCTTTTATGGCCATTTACTCTCTTCCCGTAGGACACCATAGTACTCTCATCAACCCAACCCCACTCCCCACCTATTTTCAATTCATTATTCACCCTTCGAGTCTTTGCTCTTGCATTTTGAAACTTTTTTTTTTCTCTCCACCGATACGACTCTAAAGTTTAGTGCTATAAATGAGTTAATTTTTTTTTTTAAATCAATGTTTTTTTTTTAATCTAATCGTTACCATTCTTAAGATTACAATTACAGTGTTATTAAAATCTAGTCGTAAGAGTAATCGAGTGATTTTGAACCTGTGTGTAACAATTCAATTAAAATGAGTAATTGAACTTTTTGAAGATCACCTAAATATATATATATATATATATATATATATATATATTTTTTTTTTTGTTGAAATTAAATGTTGAGGTTGCTATAGTTCATCTCAATTTAACGTCACATGCGAAAGGAAAGAGTAATTCAATCTTTTTTTTTCTTTTATAAATTCATTGAATTTAAGAGATGTTATTCTGAAATTGATAGGAGAAAATAATGGTAGTGATTTTAGAAAGACGTGCAAATTTAAAGTCTAACTAGCTAAAAGTTGACCCATAAAACAGAACCTGGAAAAGGTAAGAACTTTAGTTATCACCATATTTAGACCTCGCATGAATAATTTATCCTTTGGTTTAATCTGCGAGTCCTTTTCCCCACCACCATGAGTTGAAAGTTGAAACAAATTGAAGCAAATTGAAGCAAATTGAAACAAATTGGGTGTCACCATATGTCCCCTTGTCTGTGCTTCTCTATTTCCTTTTCGTAGCACTACATCCATCACCTTGTCTGTGCGTCTCTGTTTCCTTTTCCTAGTACTACATCACCACTCTACTCCACAAACTCACTCTCAATCCTCTACAACTTCATCTACCCCTACATCCCATTTTTGTGCCCACAAATGGTAAGAACCTACTTCTCTTTTCTCGATTTTTGCTTCATGGGATTTCAGTTTCTTGCGAACCTTTCATCTGGGTGTCTGTTTTCTGTTCTTTTTCTTTTTGGGATTTTCTGTCCTTCTCTGTACTTGAATTTGTGGTTTCTGGGGGTTTTCCTCTCTTGAATTTGGAATCAGGACCCTTTTGTTTCCTTTTCTTCTACTGTTCTTAAGAGGGTCTTCCAAATTTACCAATAATTCTCCTTAGAAATGGATATTTCTGAATTTTCCCTCTGTTTTGAACTTGGGAGCAAGCTATGAAGGGGGAAACAACGCCGATGGAGACTCGTTTGCTTCTTCTTCTCCGTTTTACCTTTTCTTTTTTGGTTAGTTTCTGGAGTAATTGGTTATTTATTTATTTATTTTTTGATGAGTTTAGCTTGTAGTCTAGATTTTAATAAATTATCTCATTTCTCTGTATTAGACACAATAAGATTAGGTTGAAAATTGAAGATGGTGAGTTCCTTAATGCCAATCATTGTAGAAGGTTGAGTAAGTATTTGAAATGATTGGAAACTAATGCTAGACTAGAATACTAGAATAATGTTTAGGTTAACTAATGGTGTATTAGGTTTTGTAGGCTAAGTAATTCAAGAGGCCGCTATTTAACTCCACTTGAGAAGATCTTCTGATGTATAAAAAGGAGTATCGATAAGAACTTGTTTGGGATAATTCAAGAGATCTCGGACTAACAGATGCACTGCCTGGGATAATACAAGCCCTTGCATAAGCACTGTTTTGCCACTTATGACTAATGGTAAGAACTTCTTTAAACTTCCTTTTTAAAAGGTTGAAGGACATGAGTATTTTTGCAATGTGGTATTGACGCTTATATACTAACAATATGAAGTTTTTTGAACTTTTTAAAAAAGTTTAAAGGAATTTTTTTAAGGAATTCTCATAAGTTGCATTAGATTAAGCTTTCATTGTTTATGCAGGTTATTTACATGAGTGACAGCCAACATCGACTTATTTGGCGTTTCCTATTGTCAACCGAATAATCAACCGTCTAATTCTAAATCCTATTTCCAATATGCAATCACCAAAGTTGAATTTGGAACGGGAAGAAGATTCAGAAGTGAGCACCCAAGCTGCTTCTGACATGGCTGTACCTGAAGCAACCTCTAATCCCTCGAAGGACAGTAGTAGTACCTCCTGCCTCACCAACTCGATAAAAGGTAATACCAATCAAGGTTTGGTTTCTGTTGACTTGACACTTCATTTCAACCCAAATGATGTCGACGCAAATGGTAGTGGTGAGACTAGTAGTGAAGCAGTTGGCCATGTTTCTGGCCCAACAAACCCCAGGATGTTCTCTTGCAATTACTGTCGACGTAAATTCTTTAGCTCTCAGGCCTTGGGTGGCCACCAGAATGCTCATAAAAGGGAGAGGACAATGGCAAAGCGAGCGATGCGGATGGGTATGTTCTCTAATAGATATACTAGCTTGGCTTCACTTCCACTTCATGGTTCTGCATATCGGTCGCTCGGGATCGAAGCTCATGCTGCAGTGCACCATAAAATCTTACCTGCACAACGGCCATTTATTGCTAGAAATGGAGTCACGTTTGATGAAGGGTACATTGGAATGCCATTTTTTATGGAAGATGAGGATGTTGCTCCATTTTGGCCTGGGAGTTTCCGACGAGTAAACGAGAGATCTACTGGTTCTATGCCTGGGGAAGTATCTCAAGTTCCAAGCCCAAAATCTGGTACGAGCATGGCACCGCCGAGAATGAGTTGTTCGCCTGATCTTACTTTAAGACTCTAAGCTTTTTTGGTTTTGTTGCCTTGTTTCTAAATATTTTCCCCATATTGGTAATTATGTAGAGTGAGGTGCGGTGCAAGCTTTTTATTGAGTCATATATGTAATTCTTCTCCGTCTACCATAACTTGACATCTTAAGGAACACTCTTATTTGGATGGATGTGGTGTTAGTTCTTAACCTTTTTGGAAGGATGAGGTGTATATATATATTTTGAAGAGAGAGAGAGAGAGAGGGGAAAGAAGTAGAAAATTGTTGTAGAAATGAACTGAATTAGAGGGAAGAATCCGACGTCCTTGTCCCAACATATTCCTAATGGAAAAGCGTGGAAAGAGATCGAATTTGTGATAGTTCCAAGTCAATTGAGGGTCTTCCCGCGCTTCCTTGGCAGAGGGTTTTCCTCTACAATTCCATTTCACTCTTCACCAACACAAAGATTCACAACTTGTATAAATTTGTGATATGGCTTCTCATATCTTCATTCTCACAAACCTCTCCATCTCTCTCTCGTTTCATTTCTATAAACCACTTTTTTCTCTCTACAAAATGGAAGGAGGAGAAAGTTGTAGACGCCACAAACCAAGTAGTGCCAAGGACTCCAATGGTCTCATTGATGTTTTGTTTTCTTGGGAGTTGACAAATGTGTTCAATCAAAACTTGTATAAACTCAAGGTATGTCTTCTTACATTCTTGCCTTCCTCTCCTATGCATCTTCACTCATCACAATTCACATTTCTTCCAACGTTTCCATACTAGTGGATATTTTAATGAGATTAAATAAGTAATGCCCGATTCTACAAAAATGTTCAGGTGGGGAATATTCCAAAATCATTTGAATCAGAGGAACACTACAGAGGCTCATACTTGTTCCCTTTGTTAGAAGAAACAAGGGCAGAGTTGTGCTCAAGTTTGAAGGCAATTCACAAAGCACCTTCTGCTCAAGTGGTTTCCATTGAAGAGTCAAACGCAAAAAGAGGCAAAATCTTGTTCAATGTGAATGTTAGCCCTTGGAGAAGCACTGATGGGAAGGGGCAGCAGCCGTACAAAGCACTTCCAGGCCATATTTTTATAATCTTGGACTCTGATCCTCAAACTACCGATAGTGATTATTTGGAACGCTCAGAATTCAACTGGGCATTTGCTTGGTTGGGACAAATCACCGACAATAGTATCCCTACTCATCTCAACCTTCATGTTTCTAAAAACATCACAGCTCAAGGTGACATCCTCGAATCAACAACACTTTTCATTGTTTTTCTGATGAATGTGACAACCAACTTGAGAATATGGAAGGCGTTACAATGTTCTGCTGGTGGGGGCATCATTGGGCGTGTTTTGGGCACAACGTGGCTGGTATGTTTTCTATATATATTTGATGCTAAGATTTTGGTTGATAACGATTTTGAATTTAGTATTACTTTTGAAATGGTACAAAGTTAGTCTCCATTATAATATTTATAAACCTAGCTCTTATTGTGTGAAGTTTTTGAAGTGGATTGTTTTGTCATATGTCAGGGAAACCATCAAAGCTGCACAGAATGCACTCAAAATGATCAAGAAGATCCCACGCAAGATTACCCTACACCACACCCGTCTTCATTGAATGAATCCCAAAAGGTTGCAATAGAAACTTGTATCCAAAATACTCTCTGCCAACACAAGCCTTCAATAGACCTTATATGGGGCCCACCCGGAACAGGCAAAACCAAAACTACCAGTATATTACTTTGGAGAATCTTAACAATGAAGCACCAAATTAGGACTCTTGCTTGTTCTCCCACAAATGTTGCCATTACAAATCTTGCCTCACAAGTTGTGAAGTTGCTAAAAGACGAGTCTTTTCGTAAAGACCACATCTTTTGCCCTTTGGGACAATTGCTTTTATTTGGGAACAAAGATAGACTTAAAGTTGATTCTCAGCTGGAAGAGATTTATGTAGAGCATAGAGTTGAAAAACTTATCAAGTGTTTAGGACCAAATGGCTGGAAGTTTCAAATAACATCCATGATAGAGATTCTTCAAGGATGCAAATTTCCAAGATTGAAGAGAATGTTCAAATCCATTGCTTCATCACTTTTAGAATGTGTTCACATTTTAACCACTCACGTCCCTCAAGAGGTCATTATGGAGCATAATTTGAAAAAAATGGAGATTCTTGTTGAGTTGATTGGTGATATTGGGACCCTTCTGAGTGAAGATGATGATAAAGTGAGAGGAACTTTGATTGGTTTGAAGGGTCAATGTGTTTTGGTTTTGCAGACTCTTTTGATGTCGCTTGACCAGGTTGAAGTTCCAAGTAAAGTAAGCAGAAACTCGATCGAGAAGTTTTGTTTTCAGCAAGCTTCTTTGATATTTAGCACAGCTTCAAACTCTTTCAAGTTGAAGAATGTGAAAAAGAATTCACTCAACTTGTTAGTTGTTGATGAAGCTGCTCAATTGAAGGAATGTGAATCACTCATACCTTTGCAACTTCCTGATATAAGGCATGCTATTCTTATTGGCGATGAGTTCCAATTACCAGCAACAATAAGCAGCAAGGTAATTTATGGTTATCTTATCTTCTTCCTTCTTTGCTCTAACATGAAACACAATTGTTGATTGGCTTTAATTTTGATCAAACCCAATCCTTTCTGTACTAGGTTTCTGAGGCAGCTGGATTTGGTACAAGCCTTTTTGAGAGGCTTAGTGTCTTAGGACACTTCAAGCACCTATTGAACACACAATATAGGATGCATCCGTCTGTGAGCCACTTCCCAAATTCCAAATTCTATGGCAATCAAATTCTGGATGCTTCCATTGTTATGAATAAGCAGCTGTATGAAGAACATTACCTTCCTAGTCCTCTGTTCGGTCCATATTCTTTCATCAATGTTTCTGGTGGACAAGAGGAGAGCAATGATGATGGACAAAGCAAGAAGAACATGTTTGAGGTAGTTGTTGTGGCCCAAATAATACAAATGCTTTACAAAGGTATTGCCAATTTATATTTTAACATTTTCAATGTTTTGTCTTGCTCACTAAATATCTTGTCACCTACACTTATGTTTTAAAACAAAACAATGGACACTAAAATATATATATTCGAGCGAGAATTTTAAAATATAAAGTATGGTCGTCATTCAAATACAGCATGGTCCAACAAGAAGAAGGATATTAGCATTGGGGTGATATCTCCTTACGCTGCACAAGTTTCATCAATCCAACACAAACTTGGAAGAAAATATGAGAAGAAGGAAGGTTTTACAATAAAAGTGAAGTCTGTTGATGGATTCCAAGGTGGCGAAGAGGATGTGATTATAATATCTACAGTTAGATCCAACCGTGGAAACAACATTGGATTCCTCTCAAGCTCACAAAGAACCAATGTTGCTCTCACAAGAGCTAGGTATGATCTTCTTCTTATTCATTGAGTCAAGTTGAGACATTATTTAGACCTAACCCATTTTTTGTCCAGGCATTGTCTTTGGATTGTGGGAGATGCAACAACCTTAGGAAAAAGTAATTCAGAATGGAGAGAAGTTATTAAGGACGCCAAGTCTCGCCAATGCTTGTTTAATGTTGAAGAGGACAAAGAGTTGGGAGATGCAATGAAAATGATGAAGACTTCGCAAATGTCTGATATCAACCAAGAGATTCTCAACCTTGACAATATTTACAACAGTGATCACAAGAAGAAATGAGATGGGGTTTGATTGCTCTTACACACTTCAATTGTTATTAGTGTGATATGTTTATGAACTTTAAATTAACACGCCTCGTTTAGTTCTGGGGTTTGGCTTACAAGTCATTTTCCAATATTAATTAATAGGGCAGCGATATCTTGAATATATTCAATAAGTTAATTAAATCAGTTATCACAGCAACTCAACTAAATACTTCCCCCACGTTAGGAATAGCCATGCATTATCATTCAACTCCTACGACCCTTTCCCCTCTTGTTGTTCTTTGACTTCCCTTTCCCTTTCCCATTCCCGTTCCCTTTCCCGTTCCCTTTCCCATTCCCGTTCCCTTTCCCGTTCCCTTTCCCATTCCCATTCCCATTCCCATTCCCTTTCCCTTTCCCTTTCCCCTTCTTATCCAAAACAGCCTCAGCTTTTCCTCCTTCACAATCTTGATCATCAATCGACCTCTGATCCACTTCCACTTCAGGATCATCATGTAGTAGTAGTAGTAGTAGTTCACTCAAGATAGGCTCCAACTCCATCCTCCTCGAATAGACGCTCTTTGATATCGATACCACTTGAGATACATTTTCCTTGGGATCGCTGGCATCAAATTCGTTTGGCAACAGAATGTTAGCATTACGATAGAAGAAGCAAGAAGGATTATGAACAGAATGTAAACAGTTTGATACCTCATGCTTAAAGCAGTAGATAGTAAATTTAATTCCACAACCAACCCATCCACTACTTCAAAACGAATCTCCTCATCCGCTTTGCTTCTTGCGGCACTTAAATGCTTAACCCATCTCTCCACATCCATCTGCAACAATAAGCCACGCAAAAGGGATATGTTGTTTTCAATTACATGCTTCATCTGATGTCAAAACAACGACATGAGCGTTAATGTTACCTTGATTTGAAAGGCGTTTGACAGATTGCTCTTCCCCTCCATTTCATTCTCCAACATTCTCAATGCTTCAAACATTTCCCAAAAACCAACAGACTTGGGTGAATATCCATCATTTTCACTATTATTAGATTTCATCCTCTTGTTTTCATCCAAAGCCAAGCTAGAAGAGGATGGAATAGCCATGCATCCCACTTTCGATGCTACCATTTTGCTGGTTGTTATACCAACATCTTGCCCTTTGGGAGCTTCGACTCGAGGTTGCGAACTTTCAACTTCCTTTGGGAATAAAGCCTTCAGTACATCATCCATACAACGACTGACATTCAAGTTGACAGTAGTTGCATCTCTACAAGTGAGTTGTTGGAAATTTCCATCCAAACTCACAATAACCATTGGGTTTCCAATTCCCTTGAAGAATCCGGCAATCATATTTAAGTTATCAGTTGGTACATAAAAACTTTTGTTTCCCTTAAGCACATTGCAAAATTCCGTGGGTAAATGCTCAGTGATGTAGTTGCGACCAAGCAGATTGCGAAGTACATCGAAGCAAATGCCAAAGTTCAGATGAAGCAAACATGTGACAACCACCAACCTCCTTACCAGTATCGGATAGCAGTTCAAGTTTGTATGTGTCTTCTTCAACCACTCCATTGTTGCTCTCCTGTCGAAAAGAAGTTCCTGATGAATTTGAGCCAAAAACAAAAGCGTCGGTTGAAAAGAATGTTGTGTTTGAGCTCCCAACATGGAAATTATATCGGAATTTCCTTCATGGAAGATGAGCCATTCAAGAAAAGAGGAGTTTGTAGTGATAAGGTGTCCCCCTTTCATGAATGATACCATAATCAGAAGCCTTTCGACCAGGTACATGAAACAGAAAGGCGAAATATAATCCCGCATGTGGACCCAGTTCGTATTGTACGTGTCCCTCAGAGCTTCATGAAACCTCCACACAAGAGATATCTCTTTTGCGGGGTTCCTCCTTGCTTCATTCTCTGCGCTCCTACTGTTGCAAAGCTCTTGAATGAATGCACTCCAAGGAGGATTCTCCTTTGACCATTCTGCTATTTGTTCACACAACTTCTTATCGAGTTTGCCAGATCCAAGAATAAGCATTGCAACGCTTCCAACTCGGCCATAAGTTAGTTGATTCTGTAAGCTAACCTTCTCGGCCACAATTTCATTCATCATATTACGATAAACCCCAGTAACTCGTAGAGATATCACACTCTCCTTCAAAGAAACTACACAATCTGGTGGAAATAAATGAGTTTGGATTTCCGATAATGCCAACTTACAGAATCTCTCTAACTGCTGTTTATCATAGTATCTATGTTCCAAATATGGGCTATCTAGAAGGAGTTTTGCAACCTCAAACATGTGAGTGAGAAGCCTACACCGGCTGAACGTCAAGAAACCGATACGGTTGGAGAAATTATAAAGGTGATCTAGATTTTCTAAAACCTCGAGTCCAGAAGAAAACAGTTCTAAGCTCCAGTAGTTCCTGGCAGATAATGAAAATTGGGTAACATCAATGGACACCAATTTACCGTTCCTATGAACGAACCTTTCATCAACTTTTTTGGCCCAATCAGCATCAGAGTTGAGCAACACGTGTCTGTTGTTCAGTCTCCAAACACCAAAGAAATTTAAACAGAACTCGCCATAAGGGTCCGCATCGTTCACACCAACACACCTAAGACTCTCGAGAACATTCAAAATTCTATCCTTCCAGCAATGCCAAAAGTAAACCAAAGTTTCAACGGACACCTGATTCTTTGAAACCATTTCTTCTGAATGCTTGGTCAGATCAGAAACCAATTCACCTTCCCAAGTGTATTTTGATGTTTTCAAATGCAAATGGGCATCAAGAATCTTTCTAACACATATCATTTCTCCACGAACACTGTCGTGGTTCCTAGAAGCAGTTAGATATCCTGTCAGAGCTTCCACGTTTCCATTTTCATCAGACAAAATATCAGCCTCTATACAAATGCAGTCGTATAATTCTTTAGAGTCATTTTCCGCTAACAACCTGGCCTTTCTCAAAAGATCCTTCTTTCCTTCAAAATCCTTCAAGGGCCAACCTTTGCTTCCTGGTGACCAAAGAGAGTTGGCAAGGACGTAGCGCACAAGAAGCGTGGATGCCTCACTAAAATTTCCTGCCTTGCCATGAAGATCAGCCACATGAACCAGATCAGCTTTTGACTCTGCAATCTTTACAGCTTCCAAAAAGTTTCCCAGTTCTTCTTCCAACACAAGAAGCTCATCGAGGCAATTCAAGGACTTCAAGAAGTTACGCATCAAATCTACGGATCGAAAACTTTTAACAGACTTCATCATGAATCTACTGTCCCCGCAGTTGTGAAAATGAAGAGCACATTTTTGTATGAATTCTTGTTCAAGGTCCTCTATTTCCTTACTTCTGGATGCATGGTGTTCGAGTCCGACATCTTGTTTCCAGGATAAAATGTATTGCAAACCAACGTCAAACAATTTCCCTTTAGAGCAAGTATTCAAGCACGCAGAGAAAAAATTTGCCCTGGCAAATAAATCAGCAGCACGGTTGTAGCACTTTGCTAGAAGAAAACAATCTCCTGCCCTCTCTAGCTGCCCACATTTCTCAAAAATTGCCCCTGCAGGAATCACATTTTCACAACGTTCTAATTACTACTTATATCCCTAAAACAATCATTACGAAAACATAGGGGGAAAGGGAAAGGACATCATCAAAGATTGAATTCTAAAACCAAATATTCTGACCAACATCTCCAGCAAGGAGAAAAAAAGCAATAAACACTCTGCTTTGCTCTTATTACAGGAATAGATGAAACTTGGAAGGAGATCAAACAAACAGGTTTAATCCCAATACAGGAAACAAAGAAAACAAGGAATTGCACTTACCTCCCCTTTCAAACTCCCCTATATCGAAAAAGCATTGGGCAGCAGTATCAGCCTTCCCAATTGCTTCAAATATTTCTGCTGCTTCTCTTAGGATTGCCTTTGCTTCCACAGGCTTTGCATTGTGGATCTGTTCTGCAAAAGCTCTAAGACCGGAGGCCTTGGATCTTCTTTCCCAATAAACATCTTCAGCCTTTTCAAAACACATTGTTGCCATTTTGTAGTTGCCCTCATGATATAGCTGTGTAAGAGATGGAAGAATTAGACTTTGGGCAAGGATAAAATCTATATACATCCTTCACAACCTCCTGCAAAGAAAACTAGCATGTTTCTGATAGAAAATGGAATAAAAAGAAGAGAATCAACACTAAGAAATTCTAAAAACAGTAACCACCAACAAAAGCTGAGTCAAAGAACTAGAATTGGATGACAACCTAACCTTGAGCCCTTGTGATCTCCAGTCCTCCTTACTGCATGAGGCTAGCATGGATTGAGCAAGGGAATCATTCAACTGTTGAAATTGCACCACACACTTTTTCTTCCAATACTCAAACATAGGTTCAGAATGCTCTTTTGTATCCTCACAAAACCAGAGTCTCTGCCTTGTGCGAGTCACCGCAACGTACAATTGCTTCAGCTCAGAGCACAAAATGTTATGTTTTGACATACTAAATTGTGGGATGGAGTGAGGCAGGCTGGAGTCAAGCATGTCCAGTTCCTCCATATATTTGTAAATAACCCTCCACTTATTTTTCAAAGGCGAGGAACCGAAAAAATTGTATAATAGCACATCCTACAGATACATGTAGGAAACTAGAATAGTGAGGGCGCTACAACGTTGCTAATTTTTTAGGTATGTTAGAAGAAACCCCATCTGATCATCTAATAGTAAAATATAAAAGAAGCTTTTTACCTGAAACTCAAGCCCTTTGCACTCCACTATAGTAAGAACAAGTGCCTTCTTTCCAACAATGTTCAAGATCTCTTTCTGGGCAGATTCATCGCGTACCAATATTACCTGCTCAGCTCCAAACCCTTCCATACTACTGCGGCCAACACTACTTCCATTTCCAAATATCAATTTTATTGCATTTTCATTGTTTCCACATTCAAGCAGCACTGGGGATTCTCCAGCAATGAGGCTCGTCTCGGGTTTCAAAATGTCAAGGGATTGTGGGAAAAAATGATAGAGAAGATCAATTACGCTCTGCGATAGATTTAGAACTCCGGAATGGGTTCGGAAATTTTGACTTAGACAAAAAATCTCCGAGATGCATCCTTTATCTTTTCTTTCACAACCTCCACTAATTATGTTGGGTTGCACAAACTTTTTGTAAAACAAAGACCTTATATCCTGGAACCTAAAATCAATCCCCCTAGCAATGGTCTGAGCTGTGTCACCTGAAAACACAAACCCCTCTTCAACATTTCTGCACACATAACTGAAAAGAGCAATTTGAGTCATGCTCAAATCCTGCACTTCATCAATGTAAATAAAATCCATTTTGTCACCCTCATATCCTTGACTTCTAAGGCGACGATGCAAATCCATAACAAAGTCACCCAAATCGAACTCTCTGTTATTCATCTTCATTTTTTCGTAACTTTGGAAGATATCATATATGATCTCTCTCTCCACCCTACTTAAGCTGGATGTTCGGCCCTCAGACAGTAGAACATAATCTGGTTTACTTAGTTTACCATCATCTGCATCAATGGCTCGAGGATCACCTTTTATATGTGAAATAATCTCAGTGAACACTCTACAACAGTCTAGCCTTTTCGTTAGTTGTGCATTGAAATGGGGCCAATAAGAAGAACTAAAACGATCATAGTTAACTTCGTTCTTCCGGATAAAAGATTGTAAGGCAACAGACCTTGAACGGCGAGTTTGAGCATATAACAGATGTCTTGCATCACAAAATCTCTCAAAATACGGATCGCGCAAAGTTCCATCAAGCATCATCAAGAACTTGTAGAAAGTTGTCACAAGAGGATATGAGTTGGTTGGAATATTGGTTAAGGAATCTGGGACATCCATGAATTCAGTTTCTAAGTCATCCATATTTTCCATATTAAAATCAGCCTTTCGCTTAGAATCCCCACCACAGGCATAGCTGTAAATAAAGGAGTAAATTGCATTAAATTCAATAAAGCATGGTCAAGACCAAACATAAATTATAGTTTATAAATCAAATTACATATTGAAAAGGTGGGGACCTTTTCAAGTGAGATACATGCTGCCTAACAGCATAACAAAGTTTTGGACTAACTGTGAGGAAAAACTGCCGCAAAACAGCTTCATTTTTCTGTATTGTACTCGTTGAAATCTCACTTTTTGTAGTAACATCACCTTCGACGCCATATGATCCTGCTGCCAAATAATGCAACTTCTCCTTCTGATATAACTTCATGGTCAATACAGTAGTTTTCCCAGTTCCAGAGCGTCCAAGTATGAAACTACTCCTGGGATAAAGAATAATCCCTAGTTCTTCCTCTGTCACTTCAAATGGGAGATCCAACTCAACGTCATCTCTATCAGAAAGCAAATGACTTAGCACACCAGATGTTAAGGAGTAAAATTTCATCAGTAACAAACTATCTTTGACTTTCGAATTCTCAACATAACTTCTCCCACTGTAATCAACGCCTCGTAAGTCATCCCTATTAGAATTGTCAGTATTGCTCTTGTACCGTACAAGCTCTGATAAGAATTCCCAAGTCTTGGGAACTTCCAAAAAACCCCTTAACAATAAAGGAAAATTCAAAACGATAAGAGACCATTTGGAAGTAAAGCAAAGATTTAAATCAGAATATATAAAATCTTTTTCCTAATCACCACCACACACTCACTCATCATAGCATATCTCTTCACAAAGATTGATGTATTCATCAGTGTAGGAGCGGAATAGGTTGCCAAGATGTTTGACCAATTTTGAAATATCCTCCAACGGCAGCACATCCCAAATCCTTAAAACTTGCATGTACGCTGCCTCTTTCATTATATCAATGGCACAAATAACATAGAGGCATTCAACCTTGATTTTCTTCAAAATCCTCGTTGAACTTCCACATACCAGATTTAAGTCCCTCCTTTTGGGCCTCCATCCACCGGAAAGTTTGAGTAGAAGATTCAATATCTTCTTCTTCATCTCCATGGTTGACGATTTCTTGAATGATTTCAAAAATCTATCACTGAATAGAACCTATGCATGTCAAACGAAGAAATTAAGAGATCGCTAGTAGAGCAAACAAAAATAAATAAAATGATGAGAAACTATGAGTCTTGAACCTTCCATCTAGCATTTCTGAAAAGAATACTGTCTCCTTTCAATAAATCATCAAGTTGATTGAATTCTTCCTTGATATCCAATATAGCTTTGGCCAAGTTCTCGTCATCGTCAGCATTAAAGAAACAACCACGATTCTTAGCATCACGAACCAAATGAGCCCAAGAAGACTCGCTATTCGACAATGTTTTATCATTCCCTAATATCCATAGACAATATCTGATGCATACCAATAGGCAGTAAGTCTTCACCCAATATATGATAAAGCAAATATAGAATTACAAAGAAGAAGGGTAAGCAGCAGTACCTAGCTCTTGTAAGAGTTACATTTGTCCTCTGATCACATGATAAGAATCCAAGTGAAGAACCTGTATTTGATCTAACAGTAGATATAATAATTATATCCTCTTCCCCACCTTGAAAGCCATCAACAGTTTTCACCTTCACACTAAACCCATCAAGGTTATCGTATCTGTGTCCAATTTTCTCTTTAATAGTGGTTACTTGAGCAGAATATGGTGATATAACACCAATGCTTAGATTCCCTTCTGAGTTTTTCCACTCTACAAAAAGAGTGATAAAAACAAAAATACAACGCTAATTAATCTTCTGTATTCATAAGATAAAAAACTAAAAGAAAAGTTAAAAATTCCAGTCATGCTCTTCAAGCCAGTCAAAACAGAAGCTTTCAATACTGCTGTTCTATATGTTGAGATATGATTCAAAGTATTCAAAATGAAGATATGATTTGAAGTAGTTGAGATATGATTCAAATATTCAAACTACCAAGATTTTTAGGAGATTGTTAGTAGATTTAAATTCTTTCTAGATTTCGATGATTTACTATTTTTGGTCCAGTGTATTAGCTATAACTACTGGAATTGTGTAACACTATGAGCATTGAGTCCGTAGACAATAATAAAGCACCGTAGCTTTCATCTATTCCTATCCATTCCTATCTCTTTCACTATCCCTCTTTCCAACAATTTTGGTATCAGAGCCAAGTTCGTTCGACACGAGGGCGAGTGATTATTTTCTTTTCCAAAACAAAAATGGCAGTAGCTGGTTTTTCTTTCTTTGCACCGTTGTTGCCAATCTTTAATGGTGAGAAGTATGAGTGGTGGAGCATCAAGATGAAGACCTTGCTCAGATCGCAGGAGCTATGGGACTTGGTGGAG